TGAGACGCACTGCCGGTGTATGCCGAGCAATCGAAGCTTCCTATGAAGCGCACAACGCGTCGTAGTCAGGCTAGGCCGGGAAATTCCCTCAAAAAATGGCCCAAATTGCTCAAAAAGGCCATTATTTGTCCCATCGCACTGGTTATAAAGTCGGGGGATCGTTGAAGGAGATCCGTTTTGCCTCTTTCTTCCCTACCCTCACATCCGTCCGCCCCCGCTTATTCGCCCTCGCCTTTTACGTTGACTACTCGAACTAGCTCTACTTTAACATTATCTTTATAACGTACCTTGTACGCAATTTCGGCTGCGGTACCAGCTCCAAGCTCTTTTCAACTACCGACATTATCGACGTTTTCCCCTGTCGCTTTCCATATTATATCGATAAAGCTGTCTTCCATCATGTCCGGCTCCCCACATTCTTCTCTTTCCACGCCGATTCCACCAACGCGGGCACCTCCTTCTCCTCCAGAATCGGTCGTTTCTTCATCTACAGGTTTTCTTAACCCCAACGCAGGCGATTTCGTACCATCTTCTTTACCAGATTCTCGATACAAAGTTCATTCCAACTCTCCATCTTCTGCATCTGTACACTCTTCGCCAGGCTCTTCCTCGACATCGACTTCAGTTTCGTTCACATTAGCACCATCAGTCTCAACATTTGCTTCGTTTTCCAGCAATCCTTCGCGATCAGAAATTACGCCTTCGACAACCCAATCGTCTTTTTCCTCGTACCACTCGCCATTTGGTAGCCCCAGCCAGATCGCGCACTCTTACAAGCACCGCGATGGGTTGGAGGAAGCAGAGGCCGGTTCTTCTGCTTCAGAAGATGCAGGAACGCTTCTCCGCTCACTTCGTATTGGAAGCCCTTCAACAACCGCTCCTACCTCTGGCACGTGTTGTTCTATCCCTTTTCACATTTTACTGACACATTCTTTGTAGATCTTGAGCTGGGCGAGGTTGCAGATGTGACGCCGTTGCCCCGCCGAGGCGACCGTGCATCTCCATCCGCTCTTCCGTCGTCTCCGGAAGTGGTGCCCAGTGCTCCATCGAAGAAGGCAACCTACATTCCTTTGCCGGACATCGAAATTCATCAAGCAGCCCCGTCTTCGTTTATGAACAGCGCTACGGTCCCTGGTGGTAACTGGACACCTGACCCCTCAGACAAGAGCGACGGCGGCGATCCATACGACGATTCCAACAAGACTCCAAACGTGTATATTAACGGACTACCTCCAAATTATCCCGAGGACCAACTTTTCGAGCTTGCTGCACCTTTTGGCCCTGTGAGAAGCGTCAGAAGTTTCACAAGGCATGTAGGGGAGAAGGAGAGTGGATATGGTTTTGTTTTGTGCGCATATATACCTCCTTTCCATATGAATTTCTCTCACTTTTGTTTCTGCCAGATTCGAAACGATTGACGCCGCAGAAAAATGTATCCAGTCTTTGAGACGTTTCAGGAATCTGCATCCGACATTTTCGAAGGTTAGTGGTACCCTCTTCTTCGTTCATCTTTACTGAGCGATCTTTTACAACAGCAAGTTCACAAGATCCCTGGAACGACTTATGCCCAAGCCCCGTCGATCTCCTCTAGCCATTCAGCTTCATCAGTGGACCACGGTGACGACAGTTCGTTCAAAGCGAAAATGGAAAGACTTCACGATCCCAATAGCACGAACCTGTACATTGAAGGGTGAGTTATTTCACACCGTTCTGACGCACGGCCGTACTTATGTAAACCACAGCTTACCGTTGAGTATCGATGAATCCGTGAGTCTCTCGCGCCGTCCACCATATCTATAACCTGATGTTGGTCATTCATTAGTCTCTCGGTGCCCTGGTGTCGCCTCACAGGATCAAGAGCAGTAGATTCTTCCAGACAAGACTTAGTAACCCCCCAAGAATCATAGCCTTTGTGAGGTTGGTCTTAAGCTTACTTTTCCATTCATGTCAGTAATGCGTACATTTAGATTGGATACCCGCGTTGGTGCCGAGGAAGTTATCGAGCGTCTGCATGGACGTATGGTGAGAGGCTGGAACGACCCCGGTAGCCGGATTTCCGTTCGGTTTGCCGATACATCTGAGCAACGCGAGTTACGTGTAAGGAGCTTTCTTTGGGAGGGTCTAGCGCCGTCTGATCCATTCATTTCAGCGTACTGAGCGCTCCGTGAAAGAGGATGATCAGTCCCCGTCGAGGCTAACTATCGCTCAAGCTGCCCTCCTGAACTTGCACGGCCGAGAGCAACTGCGGTCTCAACAGACGCAGGTTCCTCTTACTGTCGGCGGCAGTCGCATTCACCCGTCTCCCATCGGCGTCGACTATGATCAAACCACATTTGTCAACCCTCCCTTCCGCGATTTCTCCTCAAATGCCGCCATACCATCTGGGTTTGGTTATCGAGGAAATAGTATCCCCATCGTTTCCAACCCAGCCCTCGCTTCTTCAAGACTTCCTATAAGCGCTCGTGATCTCCAGCAGTCGCCGTATGACCAAATGTCTTCTGCCGCTCAAAGCCAAGAACTCGCTGCTTTGATCAATACCCTTCGTAGCAACGGCAATTTTAACGGTACTGATGATCGGTTCACGGACGGGCTTGCCCACCATCGCGGTATCCCTCAAGTGGCAGGTTTCCGCAGCGCCCTTGGTGACGTCGACATCAACTTGGGATATGATAACCATCATCCCGTCATTGGTGGTGGTGTTGCTCAAGCAAGGAATGGGTTCACTGCAACGGAGGAATACATTCTGCAGGCCCATGCTGCCGGAAGCAATCTAGGGAATCAGCGTCGTCGCCCAACGAGGTTGGATCTGACCCAAGCTCAGGCACAATGTCAAGGAGAGCCCATCGACTACAACGTGGGTGTCAGGGGTGTTCGCGCACCAGCTTCCACCATCTCACACTCTCAGTTACAGGCTCAACGACAAGACGCATACCATTCTCCCCGCACAATGAACGGCTCTCTTCCCGCCCTACAGGAAGAGTTCCAATCGTCATCAGCGATGCAGCAAGGGCAGAACTTTCTTCGTGGGCAGTCTCGAAACGGAAGCACTCACCAGTCCAACGTGAATGGTTCTCGTCTACCTGGTGACCGTGACGCTGACCAGATTCATTCCCATATCTCATCATACTCTCAGAACTCCTCTCACGTCTCTTCGCAAGTGTCAAATCGCAACCAGCATAATAATCAGCAGGCTCATGTCAGGTCCTCGACCCTCCCGCACTCTACTTCGACTTCTGCAGAACAGCATCATTCCCGTCACTATCAACACAGCAGCATGAGTATCCCAAAATCGAGGAATATATCCTCGGAAATATTACGTGCGACTGCGCAGCGCGCCCAACAGCACAGACCTGCAAATTCTATCAGTAGTATCAACAGCGAAAATAACATCCACCCAAATGGCAACAGCCTGTTCAACAATGACTCTTACACAGGCGACCTGAAAAACAATGCCAGCAACTCTGTTATGCTTCGTCATCGCAGTAATATTCAGGCGGGCGACGACTTCAAGAACAATTACGACGGACAGGCATACCCTCATGGCGTATTCCCGGACCCTGACCGCGATGTCTATGACGTCGAGCAGTCATCCCCGCCGCTTGTTTCGCCTGCATTGACTTACTCTTCCCGCGGGTCCGGGGCTACTCTCAGCCCTACTACGCCGTTTGTTGGCTCGTTCTCGCAGCAGCAAGGCCTGTCTGCAGAGGGAGCATAGTCTTCTCTTTCGCTATCTTATATATCGCTATCACTATCGTTTGCATGAAATTTGAGTTTTCCCAGGACACTGTTTAGCTACTAGTACTGTGTATCAGTGTACGAATTACCTCTTTGTTAGTCAGTTATTCCGAACAGATTGTATTATCTGATACTAGAATGGTTTGTTTAAGTATTAGCTATCATAAGCTATTGAATCGCATTGTCTGTTATGTATATGTACAAATCCCTTCGGAATTTTTCACAATCGATGCGTCACTTCCATCATGATGATCGATCGCGAATATTTTCCGGTTCCTAACTTCAACGATCCATGTCAAGTCTCGACGTTGCAAAATCTCTTCCTGATCTGTCGAAGAAGAAGGAGTCGGTGCAAAATTTCACAGATCAAAGACGCGCCAAAGCTTGGGAGGTTCACCGATGGCCGTTAGTAAAGATGGTGGCAAGCAAACGGACAAGGATACATTTGCCCGCGTCGTACATGGCTAAGGACGGGGAAACAACGCGCATCGTTTATCCAGGCTCGGATATAAATCAACTGGTGCATATCCACTATTTGGAGAGCTGGGACGGCGGAGAGGTAGCCGCAAACTTTGTACATGCGGACGGGATCGATTCCAAACGGTAGTTAGGTGTTTATAACCTGGGATTTAAACCGAACTAAGTTATGCATCTAGAAATGAATATCTAGGGCCAGATCCACGAGTTGCTGGATATTGGTTTGATGATGATGGTGATATTCATGTGAAATGGTGGGATGGATTTTTGAAAGATCAGTGGATTGACAACGAGAAATGGAGTGTCGAGGCGGTTTGGAACGGTGAAAAATGGGAGGAAAAGTGACGTTCAAAAAACTTGTGCATCGCGCTGGGTGAATAGAAGCCCTGCGCCTCTGACCACCAAAAATCTCTTGGGACATTACTAGACCAATAGACTCAGAAATATCGGAAAACTAAAGGCCTACCTTGGCTTTGGCCGGCGTTTAATCTCGTCTATGAATATGAACGGGTTTGGATTTCTTCCGGTCATCTATCTTTTCACTTCTTACAATAAGCATCGCAGCCCATGGCCCTGGGTAGTGTGGCCACTAACGGTTAAGGTTTGCGCACGAAGCCCTAGGTTTTGATACACAAATTACTGTTAGTTAGTGGTAATTTACCTCCCCCTCCCTGGAAGGAACTAACCTGTCACATTATGTCAATTGAGCAGCAACATCACAACCATACTCAACTCCACTGAATTTATGTAGCATTTACAATGTGAAACAAGACAACCCAAGAAAAAGATGGACTCACGGAGGATTGAACTCCGGACCTCACACAACCGCATAATGCAAAGCGTGCGCGCTACCACTGCGCTATAAGCCCACGAATAGTGGTGCTAAGAACATAAATACAGCCGCTATACTGTCTCCGGTCGCAGTAATTTCTACAAATGCATGCCACGTTTCTGCTTCCCAATGTGCTCACAGCAAAACTCTCGGTAGTAGGTTTTGAAGGAATGAGGTGGTGGGTTGGGAATGTGATGCGGATATGGCTCGAAAGGGTATATTCTGGCCGGAAAGCGTACAGATGGTAGTGGTACGAGCGTTAGGTACTTCTAGTAGATCGGTAAGTGTAATGACAGTTATGTAAATAATACTAAATATTGTAGTGGCGTCTACTGGTGAACACCAGATTCCAACAGTAGGTGCTGCTAATAAGTAACTAATAAGAATATCAGAAAGGTAGACCGACGGTAGAAGCCTTCAAGATGTTCCCATCCGGCGCACGGATCTCTCTGCGAGTAAGCATTCACTGATTTGTTTCGCTTTCGCCCATGCAAGCCTTTCAAGTTTCCGAACCCACAAATAGTCTTTTCGTTTCCGGTGTCCACACGCTCCACGTAGAAGTCAACGCCGTCCACGATTACAACAAGATCCATCATCTGCCCGGATGGCGGGTAATGTTCTAGAAGCTGGTATCAAGGAATAGCAATATCTGATTCATAACATCACCTTCCCGCAATTTTTCGATATCGATCTCTTCGCAATGCCATCGATGAGTACGAAGCCTTCTTAGAAACGGGGATCAATACGCCCGGTCGCAAGTAGACGCTGTGACACCACAATTCTCGGATCTGCGCTTGTTGATCATCCGGCTAATCGCTCAGGACAATGATGCTTTAGAAATGCCCTCGCAGTTCAGAAATTAGGCAGTGAATGTTCAAATTTGTAAAGTAGATGCGGATAGAGTGAATCGATAATTTTCAGGTTACAAATAACGAATTAAATTACAATGGCTGGCGGTCTGTGCTCTGAACGCATGAAGCGCAACTGCATCATTTCAATATCGGACACATGTCCCTCGTCCACAAGTAGATCCGCCGGTTTATTCGAGTCTTGCTCTGGGGGGCCGGTAACTTTGGACTCGATGTAATTTTGGCTCGCTTGACGAACGTTAAGGATGATTCTGTTGGACATAACGCACGAAAATGTGACAGAAAACCCTATGGGAATCTCGAGAAGGTCAGCCTGTGTCAGTGATTAGATGATGCGTTATTATATCTCCATCCCAAACTCTTACTGGTGCAGCGGTCCAGACAAGTAGATTGGTAAGGTATGTTGCGAACATGCTGTAGAGAATATCAGACAGAAGAAGGAAGGAAGAGGTGTCATGCTTACACTACAAAATAGAACACTGAATCTCGGATAAGGATGCTAACAAGTTGTCGTCCAGAGCTAAAGAGAAGTCCATCCGACCTGAATGTCTGGAATCCCCGAAACAACGCTAGCCCGCACAGCAGGGATTCGAATACGATGGTGGGAATCCAGAAAGCGTAGAAATAATCTGGTATGTTGCTCGGTGCACAGATAGAGGTACCTGGAAGGATGGATAGCGCCGCTGCGAGTCTATTTCAATTATTTGGGTTGAGGGATGATCAGAACAGGACGTACGACTGATGCTAGACAGAACGATGCCCATGATAACTGCTGCGCAGGCTGAACATATAATAAAGCTTGTAACCATGAGGGCTAGCACTTTTTTGTTGAGGAGATACAATGCGTAAAGTCGCATTTGTAATACCACTTATGTTGCCAGATATATATATACGTTGACAAGAATGGAGAACAGACGAACCTTCCGCAATCATACATGCAATCAGGCCTGTCCACCCTTGCCACTGAAAGAAACGGTGACCTGCAAGGAGATTAATCGTAACCGGAGGTTGCAAAAACAATAACGTACAACTATATATAAAAATCGCATCCTATGGTCTGTCCACATGAAATTCCGAGGACTTACAACTAGGGGAAATTGGTCAGAGATGTGCGAAGGGAGTTAAAGCAGAACCCCACTGAATCAGATAGCGACGTCGTGAAAAGGCCTGTAAGTAGAACGTGCCCGCATCAGAATCTTGCGGTCTCTGTTTGATGGGTCACGAACCATAGCAATTGAAACTAAAAAAGGGGGAGGAGGGCATCACGGTGAGGTTTAAATTCTGGAAGAAAGTAAACATACATGACAGATGATAGCGTGTAATAGCGATTCTGAAGTAACAAAAAGTCATTATACGCTCGAGAATCAGGCTGACATGAAGACATACAATTATGAACAAGATTTTGCCCATTGACCAGGGGCTCCTCTGCATGAGCGGTCATTAACGCCAGCACTCACGTCTAGTTAGCACGTACCCAAATCAACTCTATCTGGTCAGATCAGATAAATTGGGTAATCAGAAAGGTTAGATGCTTACCTCGTCATTGAGTGTGATCACTGTGTAGAGAAACACATCGAGTTCGGTCACAAGAACAAGTCGCAACACTAGTACTTACGATGATCAAACAACACTATTACACCCGAGGCCACTGAAAATGCAATGAATAACCACGCGTCCGCCCAGTGAAGTAGTCAACTCACAAGCAGCACACCGGGTCGACCGGACGTCCCGTAGGCTAGCAGCAATAAGCTTATTCAACGGCATGGAAGGGGAGCTCAGCACGATCTCACGAGGGTAGCAAAAACAGAGTGCTACTTTCAGACGCCTTTTTGAAGGGCCATCACCGCCGTTGAACCTCCGCTTCCTACTTCCAAAGGCACCTGCCGGTATCATGACACAAGCGCTGAAGTATTTTGGTCAAATCTTTCCCGAGAACTAGCCTTCGTATGTTCATGGAACTATTCGGGATCCGTCTTATCCCCGTTTACCTCTCCTTTGATGGATGCAGCGTACTTGAAAGTAAAGGATTCAGTAGATCTGCTCGAGACTTGGCCATGCTAACAATAGCGCAGAACGTAGGATGGCTTGGGTGAGCAGTGGACGAACACGATGATATAAAAGGCCAGTAGGCTATAACATCGGACGAATGAGTACTGAAAAAAGATTCCCAGCCCACCAGGTTGGCTGTTGCGTGGTGAGCTATGGAAGCCAGTAAAAGCTGATCCGAAAAACATACTATTGTTTTACTTGGACCGGCTGATACTGTCAAACTCGGGAACTTGAAGGAGATCTCGTGCAAACTTCGACGCCGGACTCGTAGGAGAACTTGACACCATGCGAGTGTCAGTTCGTACGTGGAAGCGCTACTGCATCTCTAACATCATCAGCACTTCATCAAGGCCTTGCCTCGGCACCTGGTGCTGGAACGGTCATTCTGTGATACGTAAAGAAGCTGGACGGAAATGAAGTCGTTGAACTCACACATCGGTGCCTTGTGATACGTTGACTACTATAGGTGCAGGCCGTTCGAGACTTGAGATGTACAATATCTGCAACGCACAGAAATAATCCGAGAGCCGAATGGCACAAGCTTAAGTCATTGAACTAGGCGGCTGATCAGTGTTACTGGCGCCCGCCCAGCCATCAATAATTCGATGGAAGATGACAGCATACGAATACACCACACGCCCAGCATACTTACCGTGGAGGGCGCATCTCGCGATCATTGTCATCACCGGCAGGCGTATGTCTATGCCGAAGGAAGGTGGAAGTCTGGAGGTAATCAATTACTAGCCAAAGACTAAACATTGTCTTGCGCAAATTGTTCACAGCTGAAAACAGAGGCAGACAGCCGTCACAGGTGTTGTGCAATGGAAGACGATCAAGTGACGATCATCATGATACGGCTTTTCCACGGCGATCTCGGCTTACTGCGTCGGCCCGACTCGGCTGATGCTTTGCACAGTGATCTTGCGGTCCCGAGCGCTGAATCTTTAATCTGAACCTGAAGTTGTCCCTAGCTCATTTTTACTCGCCACCATTATTTCTTTGTATCTGGGACCTACAGCCGCTGTCCACTTAGGTTTGACGTTCACTACCCAGCTCTGTCCAAAGCTAGTGGCGTCTTGTATGCATGCCAACACGAAGTCTGAATTAGGACGCGTCGAGGTCGCCGTTCGAGATGCTGATCAAGGCGTGAATAATACGGCCAGTGATGGAGCCTCTCGTCTGTCCTCGGGGTTAGCAACCTGAGGTCCAGGCGCTGCAGTTGCCCAGAGTAGTCGCAAGGCTATTCATCTCATGTTTATATAGACTGTATGTACCTGTGTTCCATCTGTTGATGTACTGGCACGGGGATGCCTACCCTTCCGAATCTACGTTGAGCAATGATCGCAGTAAGTGATGCTTTTTCTTCAATACTAAAAGACATCAAGATAACATCATTGGTACTGCTAGTGTTTTTTATACGTTCTATGGCTGGACATGGACGCGGACTGCGTTCATATCTGCCCAGTTATGCGAAGAACATCGCGTGTCGTGAAGCAGCGGCGATGATCATGCGTCATTCACGTTGGGCAGATCAGATCCAGATCAAAATAGTCTGGTCTGACCCGAAGGACTAGCATAAGCCGATGCCAAAATTCTTTGTGCCGTAACATGCTTATCGTCCCCGAATCGATTTACCATTCAATACGTCCCAGCCTCATCACCCTCCAGAGGTGCCACGAAGATTCCTATGTTTCCCTCGACCCAAGACACCAATGTCAATGATTGAATCGAGCAGCCTGTCGTTGGAATATCAAGACTTGTGCGCCTTAAATGATCATTTCCATGAATTTCCAACTGACGCCCACCCGGTGTAGGAACGTTAACTATTATGTCTCCCTAGTGGCTTTATGTGAGGCTGTCATTTTCTGTCGTGCCTAAAACTAACCATCTCTGTTAGCGATACTGTACTACGACTATGCCCTCACCTTCGGATTGGAGGTATCGCGTTTTTGGGTACACCGGGGGTTCTCCTGGGCCGCTTTCTTTTTCTATCTGAATCGCTATCTCGGGATATTTGGGCATATACCGGTTGTTGTAGAAAACTTTTGGACAGGGTCTCCTTCCAATAAGGATCAGGTGAGTCCTTAAATTTGTTTGGCCCTATACTGCCAAACTCATG